AACCTCGGTACGAACCTCGACTGGGGCAACTCCATTTTCACTAGCTTATGGAATGGAAGTAGTGCTGCCCATTGAAGTAGAGATTCAGTCTCTCCGGGTCTTGACAAAAGTCAAACTGGATGATGCGGAATGGGTGCAATCCAGATATGATCAGCTTAATATAATAGATGAAAAGAGACTGAAAGCCATTCACCATGGTCAAATCTATCAGAAACGAATGATTCGAGCACATGATAAGAAGGTGCGCCCGAGAATATTCCACGAAGGAGATCTGGTGCTAAAGAGAATTTGGACAGTCCAGAAAGATTTCCGAGGAAAATGGACGCCAAATTGGGAAGGACCTTATGTCGTGAAAAAGGTCTTTTTCAGAGGAGCCCTTGTCCTGTCTGAAATAGACGAACCTGAACTGCCACATCCCATCAACTCGGATGTAGTTAAGAAATACTTCGCTTAGGATGAAAACCTAAATTGAAAAAAAACATTTAGGGTGAAAACAAGAAAGGGCGCCCTAAATTGAAAAAGGAAAAAAGAGAAAAAAGAGCAAAAGGGAAAAAAATAAGGTGGGTTCAAGATGAAAACCCGCAAAGGGCGTCTTACAACCAAGGATGGGTCCAAGTTGAAAACCCGAAAGGGTGATTTGGATAATTCAAGAAATCCAAACGGTGGAAATATCCCGGTATCTGAATCTTTTACAGACTCAACGAGTTGGAGAAAGGTTTCCCTCTCCAGAACGTTGTCGTATTTTTGAAGATTCCTTGACAAAAGCTGCATTCAAAGTCACCTAACGACTTTTCAGCTCAGAAGTGCTCACATTATCGAGATCTAAGACATTCATACACACTTCATCATGTATTCATTTTCCAAAATGTTTGTCATGTATTATTTTTATTTTTTTCCCTTATAAATAAAGACAATCTTTTCTATAAATCAATTCCTTTTAAGCATCTTGAATTGAACTTAAACTTAATGATTTGTTTACATCTGCAAAAGATAATTGCATATTACTATACAAAGATTCATTGAAAAGTAAAGGTACCCGAAAGTCGATCAAGGCTCATCCACATACTTGAGATGGTCGAGAAGCATTTCCCAAATCAAGAAAAAATTGAATGTGCACATCAGATTTGAACATTTCAAGATCAATGATCAGAACTTCAAGAATCCAGAATCAAGATTCCAGACATGAAACCGGAGATCGAGATTTCTCTCTAGAGCCTAGAATAACATATGTTGCATATGCATTTTAGGCATACCTAAGAGCATTGCATCCATCGCATATATGCATCACTTTGCAGGTTTTAGGTAGAGCCAATTTCAACTTCGCATCGAAGGAGATTGGACTTGAAATGACACAATTTGCTCGAGAGTAGATCTCAACTTCACGACGAATGATATCTAGCTCAAATCTAAACTTCACAATAAAGGGGTCATCCACGGTTTCAACTTCACGGTGAAGGGAATCGTGTCTACCCGCAACATACAATACTTGGATTTCTACTTCACGACGAAGGATATTCAAGTCAAGGCTCAACTTCACGAAGAAGAGGCCATCCACAATTTCAACTCCACGATAGAGGATATCGTACCCACACATCCATGATTTCAACTCCACGACGGAGGATATCGTGCCATTTGAGGCTCAACTTCACGACGAAGGGGCTTCCCAGTTTCAGAGCCAATTTTAACTTCACAGTGGAGGATATTGGACTCAAAACAATACAACTTACTTGGATTTCAACTTCACGACGAAGGATATCCAATTCCAGGCTCAACTTCACGATGAATGGGCCACCCACGGTTTCAACTTCACGACGAAGAGAATCGTGCACATAAGTAGCATCCATCTCTAGATTGGATTTCAACTTCACGGTGAAGGATATCCAACTCAAAGAAGGAGTGTCTGTCAACACACTTTCCAGTTTCAGAGTCAATTTCAACTTCACGGCGAAGGATATTGGCCTCGAAACAACGCAACTTACATTGGATTTCAACTTCACGACGAAGGATATCCAATTCTCAGGCTCAACTTCACGATGAAGGGGTCATTCCAACTTCATAATTAAGGGTATCATACCCCAACAGATTAACCCAACTTCATGACGAAGGAGTCATCTGTGACACAACGACACCAAAGTCTTCAGGACAAGTTTCACCTTCACGATGAAGTATCTTGAGACAGAAGATGGTCTAAGAGCTACTGGTCAAAACTCTGAATTCGATTTCAACTTCACAACGAAGGATTTCGAGCTTAGAATTTTCTAGTCCGACTCAACCTCACGACAAGGGAGTCATTTTGTGATTCAATTCGAATTAACAGATCAGTCATTACATTGGACGAAATTTGTGTCTTTAATCTTTGCTCTACTACCGTTACATGATAATGAGCAAAGAGGGGCAGCTGTAGACACAACATTTTTGTCCCATACGTCACACCTTTATAATATATAATATATTAAACTTATATTAATATATATATATATATAATAATTATTTTATATTACATGTTGTAGGCCCAAAATTATTACAAGAGTTTTGTGGCCCGTTTTTGAAGAATAAGTGGCCTAACATACGAATCAGCCCCACGGTCCAAGCTCCAGGGACTTCCAGAAACCCTAGCAGCATGCTTCACTTCAGCGTCATTCTCCCCTTCAACTCCCCACGGTCGCACGCCTCTCAATCACGCTCGATTTTCTCGACAATCACCAACGACACGCAAAGATTTCGCAAGAAAACCAATAAACAGCAAGCATTAGTGTTATATTCGGAGTTAAACTCCTAAAAATAGGATTTTTCATTCCTATAAATTCATGTAATCACACGCACAATAGGACCAGAGAGATTAGGCACGAATTTCACATGAGTACAAAGAGATATTACGAGAGCCATACAAAATAAAATAAAATATTGTAAAAGCTTTGGAAGAATCGTTCGAAGTGAAAATAAAAGAAATGTATATTGTTGCTTACCTTTTCATTCGTTTGGCCCTTTGCATGTCAGTTTTATCGTCCTTCGTTGTGTTTTGATTCGAAAGTAAACAAATAGAAAAGTTTTTGGCCGATGAACGGGGTTTTTTCGAGATCTATTTTGTTAGATCTAGCCCCGAGGTCGATTAGTTTTAAAATTTTTGATTTTTGGAATCAAGATACAAAAGGCTTTCGAGTTTTTTAAAAAAAGAAATTTTTTGCCGCCGATGAACGGCAGCCGACACCATGGCCGAGTTTTGGAAAACGGGGTGTTTGTTCATCTTTGTGACGAACAGATGAGAGAAAATATGAACAAAGGGGAGTTGCGTTAAAAATGAAAAAATGAGGCTTAAAAGAATTCTTTATTGGCTTATATATCAGACCCATGGACCCTGGGCGACCCGCGTGTTGACCCGATCCATAGCCTAGGGTCCGTGTGTGTTTTTGAATAAAATAGGGTAAACCACCCTTTTGGTCCCTCTTCGCTTCACTCCCTCTATTTTGACCCCAAATTTTTTAAACCCTATTTCTTTTTAATTTGGCCACCTAACTTACTTTTTAGTTCAATTTGACCCTTATATTATTTTTTTATTTTATATTATTTATTTTATTGTATATACATATATATATATATATATATATATATATATATATATATATAATTTTATTTATATTCCCATTATTTATATATATATATATATATAATTATTTTGTTTGGTTATTCTTTATTTAATTATTATATCTTATAATATATATATATATATATTTATTTATTTATTTATTTATTTATTTTTATTTATTACTATTATATCATATTATTTTTATTTTCTAGTTTTTTACCTTTATATATATACATTATTATTTTATATTTTTTACCTATACTATTTATTTATGTTTTTCTTTGCTTTTATATTTTTTTATTATGAATATTACTTTTATTATATTTTCCTATATTTTACTTATTTCATTTTTTTCTTTTGTGTCTATGTATTTTTATTTTATTTTATTTTTTGTTTATTTATGTTCTTCATTTCTGTTTCTTTATTTTCACTTTGCTTAATTTATTTACTTCTTTATCTTCATTTTATTATTATATTTTTTTAGCTTTACTCATTTGTTTCATTCATCTTTGTTTCATTCATCTTTATTCTACTTGATTTCATTACCTTTTTCATCGTGTTTCCTTTTTTTTAAGGATGATTTCAAATCAATCAAAGGTAAGTTTTTGATCCTTATTTTACCTTTTAAGTTAAACTTACAACTTTCTTAATTAAAGACGACTGGAAATTGCATAGTGTCGAAAGGGCAGTTCAATGGTGCTAACCCTTCCTTGACTGTAACTGACTCCCGGATTCGACACATCTTTGGTAGATGTAGATCATGTAAGAAATAAGGTATCCGATCAACCCGTTTTATTCTTAAAATAAATGGTCGGTGGCGACTTCTAATCTATTTTCATAAGTCGAAGCCCAATTTCGAGCCCACCCGAAAGACGGTTCCGACAAAATGCAATAAAAACAAGTATGCAAATCGAAATAAAAGAAAAAAAAACCACAACATGAACAAGTGACTAGAATGAAAATAACAATAACAGGTGCATCAAATTCGAATAAATAAAAAACAGAGAGAACATGTGACTGAAGTGTAAATAAAATAAAAAGAAACAGTAGGCAAAATATAATAAAGCGGTGATTAAATGAAGAAAAAGAGAAAATCAGAGCATCAAATTCATAATATAAACATAACGAGGGAATGGTGACCAGAATGCAAAAAGGAGCGCAAATTATAGGGGATAAATCTTAATTTTCCCTTTTTAAGACCTTGACAATTACTTAACAAAATAAGAATAGGAAATTAGCACAACTAGGCCCTAAAAATTCAAAATGAAATTAATATGGCCCAGACCAGTGACCAAGATGAAAGAACACGCCAAGAAAACAGGGGCTCTAACATGATTAAACCTTTTTTACCCCCTTAAGCCCTAATCATATATACTAACTTTTCTTAAAACTAATATGATTTTAACCCTAACCTAGAGCAGCCGCCTCCCTCATTTCCTAAAAATTCTCTCAAACTATACCCATCTCCCACGCATGGCCGAGAGCCTCCAAAAAGCAAGGCCACCACACCGGCCACCATACTTTGGCCAGTTGGTGGCCATTATTCATTCAACCGTCGCCTAATCCAACCGGAGAAGACCCTAGATAAGGTAGGACTCCACTCCTTTTCTAGCCTCTTTCTTTCACTTGACGAAGGCCCCAAAGACCACGGTCGACACTCACATCGCCATAGATTGGCTTCGGCCTCCCTTCCGATCGACACCGTGGTGGCAAGCTACCCAACGACGAGCTTAAGCCAAACCAAGGCCCCTAAAACCTACATGTAAACATCTAAAGGCCTAAGGGCTTTCGGCCTTTTGTCTACCCTTCCCCGACGCTCCGCTCCGGCGACGATCTTAACTTCAACGAGGAGATCGACAAACCAAGGTAAACAAATCCCCTCTCCTTTCTTATTATTCTGCTCTCTGCTTTGGTTTTGATTGAATGTAAAAAAAGTTACTGAAGATGCAAAAAATTGGTCGATACTTCCGGAAATGGTTTTTGTGTTTCTATGCTTTCCTCTTTTTCCAAACGGAGAAGAAGACTGTTACAATGCATTTCTTTCTCTCTTTCGAATCTGGGGAGAGAAAGCCCCTCACATTGGCTTGATTTTGAGGTTTTATAACCCTGTTTTCAAAATGAAAAAAAATAGGAAAATTTTACATTCATTCTTATTTTTGTCTCATTGCATGTGTTGATGTTGATGAGGGTTCTTTGGAGGCTGCCGTGGAGCACTCGGGTGACCAACGTGAAAGGGGGACCGCAGCTTGTTCGACCAGCTGCTGGGTTCGGGACCACCTTGCGTGGGTGGCAGCTGACGAGGAGGGACCACAGCTGGACATGCACAGCTGGCATCGGCTGAATCCTTCACCATTTGTTAGGGGTTTCCTTGACCCTAAATTACATGTTGGGTCTTCTGGGCCTGTAGTTGGGTTAATAGTTATGTAGTATTTGGGATTTTTTCCTTGGTGTGAGTAGTGTGTATTGGAATGGAATTTGGACTGGTTTTGAATGTTGGCTGTGTAACCCAATTGTAAATCTTCCAAGCTAACCAAATTACCCATATCGCAACAAGTTGAAATTTCATGAGATAAATCAAAAATGGGTTCATCAACACATAACAAAGCAAATTTGATAATCTCTTCAATAAATCGAAGTCTCTCATGGTCTGCTTTAGATTGAATGAATCCAAATAGTTTGCTCATTTGATTACTTTGAACGAAGCTTCAACAATGACCTAATCTTTATTCAAATTCATTCAATTCGAATCAATTGGTGCGAGTTTTCAATGGTCTTTGATTTGACTTAATTATCTTGAAAAAAAATTAAGGCATTATAGTTTTAACTTGTCTTTTTCTAAGAGTTGATTTGATATGTCACGATTGATCAAGATGACATTTATCTGTTATATTGTTGATCTTCCCTGCTTTAGACTCTCGAATTAGATTTGAATACCAGTTATACGTTTGTGGATAGTATTTTTACGTCGGTCGAGTTTGATCTGTGGTTTGTTAGTGATCTTTCAATAGTTTGGTCTCCTTTTGTAGTTCATTTGCCGATGTAATCAAATATGTTTTATTTATATTTTTTTGAGTTTTCTTGGTTAGATTTTAATCATAATTTGTATTGTCCTTATGTGATTCTAAGTTGCTAGTTTTGTTTCAATGATTATAGGAAATTGTCCTAATTATGTGCTTAATTATGATTATGATTGTAATTTAGGATATTTCTTATTTTGAATAAAATTAGTGATTTTTTTCAACAAAAAAAAATATTGTAAAGTCTTGATATCTGTTATCGATTAGATTTGTAACAAATTTGTCATAGATATATCTTGATTGAGCCTAAAGTCTATCATTTGTTGGCCTTTCTCTTGCTGGGTGTTCTGTTTCCCCTTCCCCTTAGAGGAATTTCTTTGTGTTTTCTCTTTGCTTGTTTATTTGCTCTTTGTATTTTGTTTAGGTTTTGGCATGGTGATGTATGTTTCACCTTCCTATTTTAACTTAATATTATCTTCTTTTTGAGCAATAAATAGAGGTGGAAATCGATCATTCGGATCGAGTATAAGTTGGATCATTTCGGTTTAAATTCGGGTCGGATTGGATCTGGTTCGAGTTTAGTTTGTGTATATGAAAATTCAGTTCGGTCGAGTATCGATTCGGGTCAAAATCAGATCGGTTGGTTTCAGTTCGGGTCAACCATTAGATTTTCAGGCCAATTCGAATCGGTTTATATTCAGGTCAACCTTTAGATTTTCTGGTCAACCATTATTGCTCTTTATCGCCAAAACTTTTGGTGATGCTTTTTGTTACTTATAATTCAAGAAGTTTATGTGAATATATATTGTCGCATTCCAAATTCAGAGCTAGGAGTTTTAGTTTTAATCAATCGAATCAATAAATCTTTAAAATCAAGAATTTTATGTGAAAATATATTATCACAATCCAAATTCAGAGCTAGAAGTTATGTCATCAGATATATGAGATGGTCATTTAATTGAGGAAAGATTATATTGAATAAAAAAAGGGAAAAGACAAATTTAGGGTTTGTATTTTTCAATGATATGAGTTTTGTCTTGAAGATCTGTGTAGTAGATTAGTGGCAGGAGCATCATATTGTAGGGATGACATCGAATGAGAGGTTTTTTTATATTTGCAATGATCAGAGCATTTTTAAGAGAAACGACCTAATATTCATTATCAGCAAATGAAAAAGGTTTAAATTGAAAAAATTAAAATTTGCTCGTTGTCGATGATGGTGGTCGACATGATGGCTAATGGCATCGATGACCGATCAATATGATGTACAGTAATTTATGTCTGGGAAGTTTAAGAGAAGAGAAAAGGAAAGAAGAAGAATTAGTGGAAATATTGAAATTAGAAGAAGAAGAAAAAGAAGAAGAAGTAATTTAGGGTTCATAAACTAATTCAAATATGCTTAGTTTTGGGGTTAATTGGTAGGGATGTAAAATCAAGTAATCGTTCAGGTTTCAGTCGGATCCTGTCAGGTAGGGTAAAATCGGATACAGGTCAAGTCAGGTTAATTTGATGCTTCGAATCAGATCAGGTCGAGTCCAGGTCAAATAAGGTCGGATCATTTTCAGGTAGATTTGACACTAGGTTCAGTTTGGGTTCAAGTCGGGTTACTTTTAGTTCGGATCGATGTCAGTTCAGGTCAAAACAGTTTAGGCCTGGAGTAGTTAAAGACCAGGTTAATTTAGGTTCGAATGGAATTCAAGTGGATCTCATTCAGATCAGGTCACATCATTGATATATAAAATTTAGGTCGGATCTTTATCAGATACAGATTGGGTCAATTTTTATTTTTGGATTAATTAGTTTTTGTCTTTCGCAAACTTTGAATTGCAATTTGTAATTGTATATGATTTAGAGTAAATTACTAAGAATATAAATAATCATGGATTGATTTTATGAAAAAATATAAATTTAATGACTAAATTGAACAAATATGAAATTACAAATAAAAATTTAAATAAATTAAACAACAAGCATTGACGAGGGACCAAAACCCAAATCATTCGTGTGCTTCACATTTGTTCATTCGTGTTCATATCAAAAACCTCCTTTGATCTTCACAAGTACCAAAACCCAAATCATTTCCCGTTTTTTATCAAACACCCAAAATTTAAACCGTTGTTCATCCGTGCTTATCCCAAAAACCCTCATTTGATCTTCAAAAACACCAAAACCCAAACCCATTCCTATTTTTTCGATCAAACACCTAAAAATTTAACCCTTTTCCATCTGTGTTCATCTCTGTTCTTCCCCAAACCATTCTTTATTCCTTACAAACACCCAAAACTTAAAACCAACTTATTTTTCTGATCAAACCCCAAACCCAAACACCAATTCATCCCAAAACCCTTCTTTGATCCTTACAAACACTGAAAATCAAAACCCAAATTATTTTTTAGATCAAACCCATAATTGTTCATCTTCCTCTTCACTTTTTATCTCTATTCATATTCTCTAATCCCAAACCCTAACCTAACCTCTTCATCTTTTGTTTTTGTTCATCTTCTCTAACCCTAAACCCAAATCGAGTATCTTCATCTTCTGTCTCTATTCATATTTTCTAACCTTAAACTAAAACCGAACCTCTTCATCTTCTATATCTGTTTATCTTCTCTAACCCTAAACCCAAACTGAGTATTTTTATCTTTTGCCTCTGTTTATCTTCTCTAACCCTAACCCTTATTATTCACCATCTTCTTCTTCTTTTGTACATCTTCTCTAACCCTAACTGATATTATTCATCATCTTCTTCATCTGTCTCTGATCATCTTCTATAACCCTAGATCTAACCAAGGCTGTAACAAATTATTCGAAACCTTTATTTTTTTCTATATTTTCATGGATAGTTTGTCTTACGAGTTGAATTATCTAGGTATTTTTCATTCTTTTTTTATTTTAATATTTGAATTAATATATTCTTCATTTGTTTCGTAGGAGAAACCCCAACAGATCAGAATGAAGAACATTCTGAAAAAGATAAACTGGCCATTCCTATTTTTGTATATGCTTTATTTATATATATTTTTAAAATTTTTAATTTTATATACTAATCCTAGTTTTTTTCTTGCAAGGTGATGTAAATGATTTACCGTCTGAAGCATTTGATGTCAATAAATCCTCTAAGAGGAAGGCTACATGTTCAGCTGAGTTCGAGAGAAGAACTTCTCCTGTTTGGGAGCATTACACCTTCATCAAATCTGCCAATGGTTCTGTTTATGCCGAGTGTAAGTATTGCAAAATTAAAAGATATAAGGCTGATTCTTATATTGGTAAATCTAATCCTATAAGGCATATTGAGAAATGCCATTCTTATAAGGAATATCTTACTGAAAATCATGCTTTGGTAAGTTCTTTTGATCAAACCAAATATTGTGAATTGTTTGCTGAGGCTATTTTGTTTCATGGTTATGCATATAGTATTGTTGAGCATTAAAAACTTAAGGATTTGCATCATTACCTTAATTCTTCTGTCAAGGATATATCTAGGTTTATTGTTACTAAGTATTGCATATTGGAGCATGAAAAGCATAAAAAAATACTACTTGATTCAATGAATTCTGTTTGAACTCGTGTTTGTTTTACATGTGATGGTTGGTCAACCTGCACTTCATATTCTTATTTTGCTCTTATTCCTCATTATATTGATAATAATTGGAAACTTCAGTATAAAATACTTAATTTTAGTTGTTTTTCTCCTCCTAATGATGATGAGTCAATCTTTAAGTTTGTTAAAAAGATTATATGTGAGTAGGGTCTTTAAAAAAAGCATTTACCATTACACTTGATTATGCTTCTGCAAATGATAAAATGGTTAAGAGTCTGAAATATGATTTGAATGTCATTTCTCCTCTTCCCTGCAATGGTAAGTACTTTCATATAAGGTGATGCCCACATTTTGAACTTTATAGTTCAAAAAGGTTTAAAGGTAATTGATTCTTCTGTTATTAAATTGCGTGAGATTGTTAAGTTTATTGATTCTTCTGACTCTCGACTTTGTGCCTTTGAATTAGCTATTAAAGACTGTGATTCTTCTTTCATTGGTAAGTTAGTATTGGATGTTCCTACTCGATGAAATTCTACTTCCTTGATGATTCATAGGGCACTTGAGGCTAGATTAGTAATTAACTTGTTTGTTAATAGGGAAAATGAGTTGGATATCATTACTGATCATGAGTGGGAAATTGTTCAAACAATCTGTGATTTTATTGAGCCTTTTTTATGAAATTACTATTATGTTCTCTAGTTCTAAGTATTCCACTTCTAACTTGTATTTGGCTAACGTTGTTGCAATTGAAAAATTGTCGTGTGACGCTCATAACGATCCTTGTGAAGGTATTTCTACAATGGCAGGACCCATGCTTGAACTATATAAGAAATATTGGTCTGATCACTAAATGATTCTGTCTTTTGTTGTTTTACTTAATCTTCTATATAAATTACAACTTCTGAAGGAGTTGTACAATCTTTTTTATATTGA